TAACAAGTTCTTTGCCAGTGGAACTGACGTAAACCAGTTGTCACAAGTAATATTGCGAAAAGTCCCATGTATTGGTTTGGATAATTCCTTCACGTAATATTCCCCCAAAGGGACGTTGTTAGTATTAGTCGATTTGCCTAGGTATGGAATGGCATTGAACATATATTTTGTGGCACTGTCGCAAATCATTACAATTTTGATCCCATATTTATTTGGTTTATTGGGAATGTACATCTTAAATGGACATCGGCCACGAAAACCCAGCAACTGTTCGTCAATTGTGGTATGCGACCCCGGTGTGTAACTGGTTTGGCATTGTTCAATGAACATATCCCACACTTTTCTGACAGGCAAACACCGGTCATTAGGTTGAAGAGAAGGTCGCAATGCTTTGTCATCCATTCGCAGGCATCGAATAAAAAATTTAAACCTATCGCGACTCATAGCTGAAGTATATAGCGTTACACTGTAGGTATTATCAAATATTTCATCGGTTGCCAGATGGTTATCTTTTAACGCAGCTGTCAAAACGAGAATTCCAATCAGAGCGCGGAGTTCGTGTTCACTTGTATCCCTATAAGTTGCTGTCGTCATTCCATCTTTACGTTTCAGGGATATTTCCACATTTGTCCATTTTACAATTTCCAGAATAATATCGTCGGTAAAAAATGCATTGAAGCAGGAAAGGGGCTCAAGCAATGATTTACATTGTCTAGTAGGACCTCTTGCCGTTCGAACAATGTTGGATAAAGAAACTCTGCCAACGTTTTTACCTTTCGACGTTGTCCAGCAGTACTTACTTTTGCTTCTAATAGTAGGTTCAGAAAACGTAAGAATACGGCTATCTGAAGAAGAAACACAATTGGAGGATCCTGTAACTTGGTCCTCCAAAAAAGCTGTGTTGATATCAGGATCTTCACTGGCGATTTCCTCATCTTCGACATCGCTCTGAACATCATCTTCAAATAATTCATTTTCTGTTTCACTGTTATCAGATGATTCCGGATCGTCCGATAAACCTTGCAAATACGTACTTATTTCAGTGTCATTTAAGCATCCATTTCGGGCCATTGTTCTTGGTTTAACTGATGAAAAAACGAAATCACGATCAAAACAAATTTATTCAAATTGAGTGTTAAAGTCACACAAAAGCTAACCATACGTCTCCGAGACGTATGCGATCGCCAAAACTCAAAGAGTATCGAACTTACCACAACAAAATAACCACCACCGGCAAGCTACTGTAGACGACTGAGAAAAATAAAAACAGCAACGTGGTGCTAAAACATTCGAGAGAGGGAGAGCGAAAAATTAAAAAGGCATACGTCTCTCAGACGTAGGTTATCTCTCTAGGGTTAAAAGAAAGAGGATTAGGAAGCTTACTTTTGAAAATATTCTCGAAGCGGGTTTGAAAACTTTAATTCAGTTAAATTTGTAATATAAATTAAGTGTTGCCATATGGGAATCAAACGAGAGTATTTGAGAATAATAAAATTGCAACAGGCCGATATTTGTTCATAATAGATGTTAAAGAAAAACTAAAACGTAAAAAACCAATATATCTCTAAAACCAATTACGCTGGGGAACTGAACTTAGCACTGGTGCATATATTGCAAATGCATTGGGAAAGGAGCGTGGCTCCTTCCTTCCATACAAACTGAACTTCTCATATGGCTTATCTCTGGAACTGCTTACGCTAACGTCCTGAAATTCTACACAGCTACATATGTTATCAATACCGTAGTTATGGCGAAAAGTGGTAATTATTGGAAAGGCTGGATCGATACACATTTACGTAAACGCGTAAGTATCATTCGATTAGGAACCATTTTCTCCTAGATTTCTTAATCTCATTGAACTATTGTAACTTTGTCTTTAATTTTCAGTAAGGTAAAATTTATGTGAAAATTTTGAAGAATTTTTTTAATTTTTCACAAAGTTTTGCTTTTACGAGTTTCGCTATAATCTGTCCTATCTCTATACCTATTTGCATAAAATGATAGCCGTTTTCGTTGTTCGGAATAAAAAAACACTGAATAGAGTTCCGTCAGATTGTCGGAGGTTATCTATACATATAATAAAATTGTAACAG